GTGTCTGTGAGACAACTGGGGTGAGGGGGGACTAACTTATTCAATGTTAAAATTTTTCCTGAAGTCAATTTTACATCCAGAAAAAAATAGAGAAAAACAAAACAAAAAGCCCCAAACTTCTGCCTTTTAGCTCTGAATGTCCTTTCTGTTTCCAGGGCTTCAGGCAAGCTCTAGAGTTTTTGGACTATGAAAACTAAATGCCATCGATGTCATTACCTTTATGAAAAAAGTGTGCTCTCAGATTGAATAACAAATTAATTTTTCTAAACACAGTTTAATTTTAGTTTTCCAAATGTTTGCTGTTGGCCCAAACAAGAGTCAGGACCTCTGGTAGCCTGTCTTTTAGGTTCTGGATGATGCTGAGAAATAAAAAGTCTAAATGTTTTATCTGTATAAAACAAATTTGCAATAGAGCCCAGTATAAAAATAACAGTGAAAAATAAATAAAAAGAGAGAGGACCCTATGCATTTGGGTATCCTGTATATATATTACTAATTCATAGGATGATCTAAAATTTTAATTTATTCAAAATCAGGGGTATTGGAAATTTTAAGACAAACCTATAAAATCCCCCCAAAATAAAAGTCAAAGCTTAGGGACATACATTTGAAGATACGGTATAAACCAGATTTTTAAATTGGTTTTAATAGTATAAAAGGAGTCCAGGCAAACAGGCAGCTAAATTTCACTCGTTTGTTGGACATTAGGTGGAATACTGATTCTGACTGTCAAAAGCATGGAGGGCAGTAGAGCACACTGGGTAGGAGAGTAGGCTTTGTACTCGTCAGACCTGAGGAGACATGGCCCTGCTGCTGCAAAATTAGTTGTTCTAGGACAACTTTTAAAAAACCTCTGTAAGCCCCCGTCTCCTCATGTACAAAATGATGATAATAATAGTGTGTAATATAGTGAAGAAGTTCAGATAAAGTGCAGAGCACCGTTCCTGGAGCATAATAGTTGTGCCACAAATTTTAATTATGATTATCACTGTTAGAAATTTGTTTGAATTTTTGACTACTGATATTTGTACTAAATTGAGAAAGTTTGACTTTTGTCATCCATATTAACATTTGAGGATTTAAAAGTTGGGATTAGGTAATGATGTACCTATTACATGAATTTATAAATATTCCTTAATACAATACTAATACCACTTTTTGAGTGAACTGGTGCTTTGGATTGAATTGATGCTTTAGTAACATACTTTTTTTTATGGTGAGCATTAAGTTCATTGTCAATTTATAAATATTTTATATTCCAAAACCTCAAATGGTGCAATTTTCCATCTAGTATGAACATGACTTAAAGTGCCCAGGTTTTATTAATAGTATTTGACTTGTCTTTAAATTTGGTCTATGGTGCTCTTAGCTCTCTCTCATGTCAACTAGGCTGACCTTTAGTGGAAACTATTTTCTGTTTCTATTGAGATTTAATGAAGACAGATGGCACCACATATTTAAAGAAACATCCTTAAAAGACCCTCTGTTGTACAAATGATGGAAGTGCAGAGTATGAAATATAATGAATCAGTTATCGTAGATAGGACACCTGATCCAATGCTCGGTCAATCAATAAGAGTATTTAATTTGGGAAAAATTAACTGGAGCATTTAAAATACCTGTCCCTTGCTGTTCGTTGTCATTTACTGAGGACAATTTTAATTATAGAACCATTCTAAAATCTTGAACATTTGATCTTGTACAATTACTTGATAAAAATAGACTATGAACTATTTTGATAGTTTACAAAATTTAATGATGTAAACTTTTTGCATATAAACATTAAATTATTTTGACTTTTAGTTGTTTTCTTAAAATAAGAATATGGTAAACTAGATGAAAAAAACAAAGTCAAATAATATTATTTTCTAAAAATTTATACACTTTATTCTTTCTCTTTTTTCCCTACCACATTCTCTCTCTCTCTTTGATTATTTTTCATTTGGAAATGGTTTTGGTTAACTTAGTTTCACATTATGGGTTCCTGGATTTCCAACGTTCACAATTTATTGAAGGGCTAGATGCTTTTTAATACAAATTAACTTTATTCTGCCTTTGTCCTAATTGACCATTGCTTTGCTTACTAGGTAGACAGTCTTAATTTTCTCATTAAGTCACACATCCAGTTTGTGTCCCCTAAGTCTGTTTTGGCTGTACTGCATGTATGAAACAACGTGCCAGTACTGAAAGGGTTGTGCATTTTAGGATGATTCTGTTTCTATACTCAGAGTTTGTCTTCTAATAAAGGAGGTGATTCATCTGCTCAAATAATATGATATGAAGTCCAAAGAAATTCAAAAAATGAAACTAAACTTTAGAGAAGGACCCATAATGGTCTGTGGGAAATTCAGATGCATTGCATCAGATGGAGGTGCCAATTTTACGACTCAATCTAACCTGCTTACCTTTAAATGAGTGTGTTACCTGAGTTACTTTTCAATTCAATATTATTTCTGTGAAGCTCTTTTTATTAAAATAATTAAGTGTAAATATTAAACAAATGTAAGTATATTCTTATGCATAAAAGTATATCATACAAGTTACTGCAAGATATAACTAACCCTTAGGTATTCATTCCTGCTTAATTTACCCTGATTTTTTATTTCTGTAAATTTTTAAAAAACTTTTTAAAAGGTCTTACTTATTTATTTTTAGAGAGGGGGAAAAGAGGGAGAAAGAAAGGGAGAGAAACATCTATGTGTGAAAGAAACATTGATTGGTTGCCTCTCACAGGCCCCAACTGGACACCTGGCCCACAAACCAGGCATGTGTCCTGACCAGGAATCAAACTGGTGACCCTTTGGTTTGCGGGACGATGCCCAGCCCACTGAGCCACACAAGTTAGGGCTGTGACTTGATTTTAAAAATCTCAGATCTGAGTCCAATGTAAACAGCTAAATGATCCTGAACTTTTTGTTTAAAATCAAAAAACCTTACAGGGCATTAACAGGGTCTAGTTTCAGAGATGTAGACTGTCAGTGGCACTTGAAGGTATTTAGCCTTCAGTCTTAAGGAGAGCTCCGTAAGCAGAATTGTTCATTGGTCTTTAGTGAAACTATCGTTTTAAAGATGTTTTTATAAATTACCTCAAGTAAAAGAGGAAGCCAACACACACACATTTGGCTTAAATATTATTAAGTCTAATTTAATGATTGTCAATATTGTTAGGAGAGCGAAAACCAACATAATTTCAGAAATTCACACAGGTCATTCTGGGATATATATTCATTGACATGGCCTTTATAAAATCTCTGTAACTTTTTGATTTGCCTTGTTCTAAGAGATTTAAAAAAAAAAAAAGGAATGTCTTTTTCCAGTTGATTAAATCTTTAAACCACTGTCATACTTCTCCAATGCTACAAAACATTTTTTAGTGATTCTAACAAGGGTGCGGCTAAAAATGACAGAGGCAGTCTCCTTAATAAGATCTATTTTAAAATAAATTCTTACAGAACTGCTGCCAGACAAAACAGATTTGGGGACTTTGTGTTTTTCTTTGACCCTCCGTTTTGGTGGCTCAGTGTCCTCGCTTTCATCTCAGGTGGGCCAAAGCTAAAGCGATACAGTCCTTTTTGTGTGTGTGTGTGAGCTGGAACATCTTTACATCCATATTGCTTTAGCAAAACTCTTTTCTGTTCTCTTTATAGGCTTGTTTTCTAAATTGTATCAAAATATTTAAAGATGTTAGTGATTTGAGATACTTCCTATCTAAGGGGGCACATTAACTTTTGACAATAGTTTTCAATTCATATCTTGATTCTTAATTTAACAATGGTATTCACTCCTCAGTGGGTAAGAGATACGATAGATCCAGAGGAGGTGTTTGGGTGTTGAAAGGTTTTTGGGTGCTATGGAATCTCTGTGGTCATTTCTGCATTTAAATAGACCTCATCTAGAATTTCACAGATATAAAATTTTACTATGTATGTTTTCTAATCACTAGATGAAAAGTGGAGTCACAGGGGAACCACTAAAAAAGTACAAAAGGTTCATATTTGGATGCATACTGAGCAACAAAAATCCCCTGATTTGACATAGCAGATTTTTAGAGTACGATGATTAATATTTTCACTGTTATTAAATGGAGCATTGAAAGCATTATTTCCTGCTGCAGTTCTTCCTTCCTGTTCTAGTTATAAGCAGGAGATGCTAGAACCCACTGTACGTACATCATCTGTCTTCAACTTCCGCCAAGAAAAGAATGTTGTTCAAAGATCATCTGGAGTTTGTCTGACTTTGATAATGTAGTGCAGAGCAGTTCCAAAAATAAAGACAGGATTGACTGTCCATTAAGAACAGCTTATTTCATCATTGTTGTTTTTCACTTGGAGCCTTGTGCCTTGTATGGTGGTTTCTGTTTTTCAGAATAAGCTCGCTGAGAAGTACCATTGTGTTTCTGTGCTCTGGGAATGAGAGAGTACAGAGTGTGTGTTTTTGAGAATATTTGGCTCATATGAGGAGCCTGTGTTCTGCAAACGTAATGTCTGATACATATAAGAAGTATTCACATTCATGGGAATTGAGGCTGAGAAACAAATAGAAATGCCACAAAAAAGTTTATTTGTTAATATTTTACTGAACCTCTTACTAGAAAACAATAAATTAGAATAATTAAACAGGAAGTCTGATTTGCTATCTTGTTTTTGCCTAATGGGAAAAAGTCAGCACTGAATTTATGGCTACCAGGAAATTTTACTTAACTTTTTATAGCCAAGACGATGGACTTGGAGGCAACACTCACTTTATCTGTTCTTATCTAATCTGTTGTTTACTCAAATCAAATAAGGATTCCTACAGAAGAAAGTCTTAGACTATATCCTGAAAGACAACACAGAAATTTCCTAAGAGCTTCGAAACTATGTATGTGATAGTTAATAGGATTTTTTTCTGCCATCTATTTGATGTTAAGAGAAGGGCCTCAAGATTATTAGTAATCATATAATGGACTTCACATGCTATAATTCAGTTCTATGTTTTGATCTTCTTTATTTCCTTTTTAGATACTAGCTCGGTCATGTACTGAAATCCTGGAATTACAGCCCTCAAGTGTATGTGTTGGGGGTAAGTAGAATTTAAAAATACCATGTAAGAAAATGTATTTTTTTCCTAGTTAAAATATATGATTTGAAACTCATGTTGGAAAGGGAATGGCAAAATTAACTTTTTTGGCATCTTTTTCTGTAAGAATTTTAAAATAATTCCTTGAAATATTTCTATTTTAAATTCAAATTTTTAAGATTGGAGTGTTATTTTAAATAATGAACATATTGTGTGACAGGCTTTTAGAATCTTCTGTATATTTAGTTCATGTTTGAGACCTTTCCTATGACAACTAAAATAAAATAAGAATTTTTTTCTTTTATCTGATTGTACAAACAGTTATATATATGCAGATTTTTAGCTCCACACATTGATAACCTGGCCAAAGTACAGTATCCGTCAGCTCAGGGCACATACGGAAGTGACTTATGGCTGGATGGCAGGAAGGAAGCCAGTGGCTTCATCCCTGGTGCTAAGAAAAGACTCAGGTTTTAACACTTCAAAGCCATCCTTTTCTGAAAAGAGTGTGATTCTCTTTGGTTTATTCTGTTTCCTCTTCAAGTCTAACCTGCAGTTCATTTTAACCTGATTTACTTGGGAAGAGAAAAATACTGTGTCTGGTAGGGCTGTGTAATTTACTGTTGAGCCTCCCGACTGCAGAACATGGCATTAAGTTCTGCACCTTTTAGTGACTTAACTAATGGTTACTGAGATGTTTAAGACAGATAGTGCATTTGAACATCCTAGCACTTTGATAATCCCTGGTTCACAGATGGGGAAACTGAGGCAGGCAGCGTTCAGTATTTGTTATTCTAAAGCCCATGTCCTTTTTATTGTCATATTTTAAGTTTTCTGTGCAATTTATTTTAACTTGTAAGTAAAATTCCTTTGATAACAAACACACTTAATGGAGAATGGCACTGAAGTATTTTCTTCCATAGTTACTTACTATGTATGTGTTACATTATGGTAGGAGGTGTTGGAGATGATTGGGAGTTAATCACTGCTAAAACAGTTATAATATTTTGCAGCTAAGCAGCAAACATATATTTGCCAATCAACATATTGATGTTAAGTGTTTTTTTTCTAGCATATCGTCTCACTCTCTAACATCAAGTGACTGCTCCTGCTATATACCTAGAATACAATAAGTTAAATGGACTTCTTTTAGTGACTGGCTATAAATTATTACTAGTCCAAAATACATTACCTCTGATGAGTTATAAATTTGTATGCAACCAAAAATGAAACTGGGAATAGAAATGTGAAGAAGTTATTAAAGAAGAACTGTGGAGTGTCATAGATTAAAGAAAATACAACATATGATGTTTCTAAGAACCAAAACACAGGAATAATTAATGTTCTTTACAATTCCATACCCCAATACCTGAAAGTAGAGAAAAACAAAGAGGTTTCATTTCTGCTGCTATTTTCCTAAGGAGAGAATTTGGGGAAGTTTGTACGGTGTCTATCTGGGAATGACTGGTGTGCTTTAATTCTGATATCTTGGTCACTACTGAAAAACATTTTGTTTAAAAAAATAAAATGCCTCCCTTTGTTGTAGTGAATAATATCTCCACTATTTCCCTAAATGGTCTAAGAAAGCAAGTAGAGTTGGAAACAGAGCCATGTCTTCTTTGGTATTGTTAGTTGGCTGAATAGTATGAAGAAAATACATTCTATGCAACTTGATACTTTCAAGTTAAGTCTATTTTTGTGCATGTAAACCAGTGATTAAAATGTTTATTTTTCCTTTTACTTATAGATGAATTTCAAATTGTTTTGAAGGGAAGAGGATTCAACCTCGGCAGTCGCAATGGCAACGTTCTCTGTACTTACACAGTAAATGAAACCTACACAAAGAGTAGGTCCCCATAATCTGCATGTTGCTTTAATACCTGCACAGCAAGTCAGCGTCAGGTGTTTCCCTCTTTTCCCCAACTGAAACCAACTACACTATATTTTTTAACAAAGGAGGAAGAAAAGCAGTCCCATGGTAATACAAATAATAATCACTTGATAGTTATTCAATGATGGCAATGTTTGTTCATAGCCTTAATAAGTACAAGGCCCCATTCTGAGGAACCTCATTATAGAGATGATGGATGGTCTTGTGGTTGAAAGAGTCAAATAACTTGCTTTTGGCGACATAGTTAATAATGAGCAGAGCTGATAGTTGAACCCAGTTTTCCTGTCTGTGCTCCGTATGCACTGTATCAACTGTGTGATTTAATTGCCTTTTTTTCTAGATTTATGTATTTATCACCACTCTTGCTTGGAAATCTCACTTGGACTACTCTACTATTTATTGTACTGTCACTTGTTTCCTATCTAAATAGTTTCCCCATAATTCGTCAACTAGTTTTTTGAGACAGACTTTTTGTCTTAAAGATATTTTATATCTCTAGTGCCCACCCAGCACAGTGTTTGTTGATAATAGTCATACTTATGGAATTAGGTTTTACTTTTCCCAGCTTGGCTTTCAAAAAAGCAAGTGAGTATCATGTTTTAATCTTCATTCTGAGAAAACATCCATTTAAATGATTTCAGTATTCTGAGCATTTTGGGTTTCTATAAAGACAATTTTTCCTCATTGATGATTATTGCGTCTTCTAAAATTTTATACTGGAATGCATATGCTATAACTCTGAACTCTGGTAGAATTAGTTTTTGAGAGGTTCATCTCCAATTTTGCTGTTTATCTGATGGTACTAAACACTCCAATTAGCAGTTTTGGCTACATACACAGTAACTGTTCAGTATGTGTTTGTTGAATTAAAGTGGTGATAATCTCAGCATGATAAATGCCATAATGAATTCCTTTCTTTCCTATTAAGATCATCATTTTGGTAAGACAAGACAATAATATTTTTTAACAAATTCTCTTCATAGTAGGTTCCACAATTAAAGAGAAAAAATAATTTTATTCAGTAGTCATATGTATCTAAGCATTAGCTTTACCTAATTCCTTTTGATTACATAGCTGAATTTATTATACTATAAACATATCTTATACTTAGCTCCATAAAATTAAGTTTATTAAAGTAAATATTCAGATAAAAAAGTGGAATAAGGTTGTTTTCCAGTATTCCCATTCTTGCATTATCCATTCAATTATGTAACTTTTGTGAATATTTATAGTCTAGATCATTTTTCTGATATATTATCAAAATTACGAGGGAAATTTAAGCATCAGCTTTATAAAATGTATTTTCTTTTACTGTAGACACAACTGTTCTATTAAACTCTTGAAATAAATTTATTCTCCTTTGGGCATTCCTTTTTTTCTCTATCATTTTAAAATTCAGCTTTTATATAGATATATTCCATTTATCCTTAAAAAATCTAAGATATTTGACTTATTGAGGGGGTAGATGATAATATTATAGTGTCTACAAATGTATGTAAACTTAGTCTAAGTAAAAAAGTCATGACTTATAATTTACCAATACTATGTATCAATGAGACATACTCTCTACTTTTCATTTTTTTCTTCTCTTTCTTTAGATGAATGTCTTTTTGCTTTTTCATACTAATATTGCTAATGTTCCACAGTTGAATTCTTATTGCCATATGCCTTTCATATTACTAATGAAACTATGAGATTTATAAAACCCTTTACCAAGTCAGTGGCATTTTATTTTCCAGGTGTACAGCCAGTAAGTGTGGAGCTTAATTCTATGCTTTGTCCTGCACCTTCCCTGAACAAAGTTGGAGAGTAAGTACCTCATTAAAAACATTTCAAAAAAATTTTAGCTCCAGATTATTAGGAAATGGTGAAAATATATATTAGTTGTTTTATTGTATTTTGTTATACAGATTGAACATGAAACAGTAAGCCCTAAACAAACCACTCTGGTTAGTACTTTAAATATACTCTTAGTAGATTGAAAATGGTAAAGTCTGTTGTATCTTATTTCTTAATTATTGATTAAAAAACTCTATAAATATTTATCTGGGTGGGTTTGCGAACTATTGTTAGAGCCTTTAGATAATCAGCGCCACAGCCGTTATTTTATTTCAGTTTACAGAATTCACACATGTGTGCGCGCGCACACACACGTTCCAAAGTGAGGTTTTGACAGTAATTGCCATAGTTTTTAAGTATTACGATTAAAGATAAAAAGGAAAATGGCTCAGTAAGGCACATCTCAGACCAGGAAAGATTTGTGCTTTGTTTCTCAGTCCTGTTAAGGTCTATATTCTTATTTTTCCTTGGTGTGGTAATAAACCATAAAGATAACTGGCTAAAATAAGAAATAGTTTGGAAGGAGACCTTTATCTGAATCACTAACATGCAAGTAATTTCACTAGTAATTCAGTATTTCCACTAATAATTTTTTCTATCTTCTCTATTATGAAGGAGATGATTGGAAGCATTTCAAATGTTCTCTAGTCCACCAGTAGTGGATGCAATATGTTTATGATAATAAATAGGATACATTTTTTTTTTAGGATCACTTTATACTGATCTTGAACCTAGAACAGAAGAAAGTAAAATATATAACCCAAAGTCTGGATTAGTGTTCAGGAAGTGGAGACAATATTTTTTCCATGGAACCCAACAAAATCTGGTAGCTTGACATCTACTTGAGCACTTAACTTCTGTGGATGCAAAAATACTCAAGATATCTATTGGGCATCGCTTCTGGTCATCTAAGTAGATTAGAGCTCTATCAGCTTTCTATTTCAAAATTGATTAAAGGAGTGCATAATATAACTTACAAAAGCAAGACTCTCAGAATAGTTTTTTTCTTTCTATAAAAATGTATTCACTTTCTGTGTCATCTAACCATCTAGTGTTATTGACAACATGCTTATGGCTGTATTAGACTGTGTCTTGGAATCTGAAGTAGATGCATTTTGCCTAGAGCCATCTTAACACCAAGTGCAAAATGAGACTCTGTGACTTTCTGGGTAATCATATATTGTAATTGCAGTGATAAATCTATTGACTTGATGTTTCATCCTATTTTAACAAATCTGTAATTCCATGTTGATCCCCTTGTTTGTTCCCCTCAATCTGCTTCCACAGCTGTCTTCTCTGTCTTAGCCATTGACATCTGCACACTTTCTGTTGTTCAGGTCAAAAACTTTTGATTCATTAATAATTTCTCTTGCGTGCAGGCCATCAGCAAACCTTATTAGCTATAATTTCAAAATATGTTCAGAATACAATTCTTCCCCACCACCTCTACCTATACCATCTGACACCTCGCTGCTTTCATTTCTTGCCTGGTATATTAGTCTCTCCACTGGTTTTTCTACTTCTGTTCTTGGCAGGGGTGATCCTGTTAAAGCAAACTGGTTTATGTTACTCCCCCTACTTAAAATCCTCCATAATGAATTCCCCATTCCACTCACAGTGAAAGTCGAGTTGCGGCAATGTTCCACAAGGGTCTATAGGCTCTGGCCCCTCACTCTGTCTCAGACTTCATCTTCTTTTTGCCCTCTCTGTTATGGTCATGCTGTTTCTCTTTGCTGTTCCTCAGCCACATCAACTTGCTCCCACATCACTACTTTTACACTGGCTGCTTCCTCAGCTTGAAATGTCCTTCCCCTCGTGGCTCACTTTCTCATCTTCTCCAAGTCTTATTCTGAGGTCACCTTCTTAGTAAGCTCTTCCTGGTCACCTTATTTAATCATACAATCTTCCCTCTCCTTTGTTTGGCACTCTTTATTCCCTTTTCATACCTCCCCCGCAAAGCATTTATTTATTATTATGTCTCCTTCTTGCTAGGATGAATCTTGTTTGCCTTGTTTCTTGCTGTATCTCTAGCACCTGACACAATGCCTGACCTACAGGAGACTTGCTCAATGTTTGTTACCTGAAGGATGAATATATTTTTTTCTCAAATACTTTGATTTATTAGTCATATAAACACTTAAAAGAGCACATTTGGTTGCTGGGGGCAGGGGCCTATATCAGGTAGGAGAAAAATGATCAGATTCTTATTTTGGAAGGAATGTCATTTAAAAGAGCAGAAAGTTATCTTGGCTTTTTAATAGTAGCGTCTATTTAAGGAAGACACCTTTCTTTCTTTTCCAAAATAATTAAAATGTAAGATGCCTGTTCTATCCCAGATACTGAAATATTTTCTTTAGAATTTACCTTTGGGCACAGTCTCCTTTTGAAGAGACTACCATAGAGACTGCTGATATTGTTTAGTGATTTCTAGATAGGCTCAATATTCAGGAGATGTGATTTTTAAAAATCATATACAGCATAATAAATATCAGACATGAGAGTTCATCATCTGTTTGGCCTTTGATGCTAGGATTTCACCTACAAGCAGATTGTTTGGGGACCAAGCTCTGTTTAAAATAATTACTTTTGATTTACTTTTTAAAAAAATCAAGTACATGATACCACTGAGCAAAACCTGAGAAGATTTTATTTGTTAATATATTGGGTATTTGGGGACATCATTATTTGTTCTACCAAGTATGTTGCAAGTAATTTGGAGCTTTCCTTTTCCTTGAATTTTCTTCAGATACTTATGTAGGTGATGAGCTCTCTTCTGAGACTGGATTAAAATCAACATAACTGAAACAGTTTAGCCCTGTAAGGTGACTGATGCTTAATTTACTTGCCTAATTATCTTTTGGCTAAGGATTCAAACCCATTAAGTAGCTAGTTAGTCTATATTTCAAGTAAACACATCTGGCCCAACATTGAATGAAGGTTTTTCCTGTGTGAGGGTGACAGATGTGGTGATGGTTCCCCCTGTTCTCTCACTTAAATAATTAACATCACGCTGGTGAAGTAACCTTAGACAGACAGCCTCAAAGCCAGATGCGTAGTCCCCGAGCTGGCTCCATGGGCATGTGCCTCATCTCATTAGCCTACTCTAACAGTTCCCTTCTCTGCTTTCTGTCATATTTCCTGAGTTATCAAACATTTGTTTGAGGATTATTTCTTAAAAAACCCAGAGCTTGTGGATTTTGGTTTGAAAGAGGGTTAATACGAAAATCTTGACTTGGAGATGAGAATGAAGAATGTAGCCAAGTGGTTAGGACATGGGCTTGCATTTGGAAATTGATGTCATGGAGTAAACAAAAGGGAAAGCCATCTGAGAAAATCTTACGCAGGTATATCATTGTTTGGCATTGTTGAAGTAGGTCTCTGAAATACTTTCTTTGAAGTCTCTGTTAAATTTCTTCATTTGGTTGAGATTTTTAGACTAAGTTGAACAAATACTTAGTATTTAAACAGAAAGTATATAAAGATGGTATTAGGGAGGTGGGTTTTTTTTTTCCTATTTCTTTCATTGGATACAAGTTGATCTTTAAATGTCACATGATTAAACAAACTTTTTTACCAAGAAAAAAAATTTGTAGATTGGGAGTTTATTTCTAACAGTGGTTTATTTGTGTCAAAATGTCTTAAGTTTGAAGAGAAAGGATGCTGTGAAGTTTTTTGAATCCTCCTCATTTCAGGACAGTTGCCTTGTGGTGTAAAGTGCAGGTGTTACCAGTATTTGCAGGGTGGGCTTTTTCTCTGACCTTTGTTTAGTGAGACATCAACAATAACACAGCTGCTCTGCAATAGTTGAGATCTCAAACCTGTAATTTGGCAAGAAGAACAGAGCAAATTGGGTAAATATACATAAACACATTGTGAAGAAAGAAAAACAGAACAGAATGAACCAGAGCCTTATCCTACAGCTTGTTTGATAGAGATGATTTAAGGAGGCATATGGTATAGTTAAATGTGCTTTCAGAAACGTTGGCCAGAATCTTCTCGCAAATATGAAATAAATATCTAAATCAGATGAAACTGATAGTATTAGTTCTCTTAAAAGGCAGTGTGGGAAGACACTTGATAGCGTGTTTTGAGTAAGAAGTGGAGGGATATCAGTGAATGTGGAAAATTTCAGGCATCTGATGCTGACGGGTCATTGAGCTAAATGGTGGGGCAGACTTGGGATTAGTGCCTGACTTGATAACGGAATCTTTTTATTTTTCTCAACATTGTTATTTTTTAATAAAATCCACTTTTTTCTGGAATAAAATTTATTAATTTAATTTCTTTTTCTTGGTTGGACAAATTCTGCCTTTAACCCAGCTTCTCATATGAACATTTCTTTTCAATATACCTCTGTATTGAAATATATGTGAATGTGTATCTATACAATCCCTCGTTCTACGATCTTAGTAGCAGGTGATACAATCACAACTTTATTCTTCTTTTTCCTCTAGGAATGAGACTTGATTTATTTATTTTTATCATGGTTATGAGAACATTAGTTACATCTTTATTTTGAATATAAACAGTAGAATCTTGGTGACATGCGTTAAGGCTGATGACCCTCTCTGTTTTTCTCTCTTGCTACCTGCCCTTCGGTGGTGAAACATTTATCTTTCACATGGTGTATTGCTTTCTGATTAGATATAGAAATGTGATAAATTCACCTAATCTGCATTATATTTCTATTTTAAATATTATATTCAGTTCAGAAAATTGCCTTTTAAAAGGAAAAACAATTAATTTAAGAACATCTAGGGGTAGCTGATAAGGTATTGCCAAGTATGGAAATATTAAATAGGATAAAATTTTTAAAAAAATATATTTCATTGATTATGCTATTACAATTGTCCCAGTTTTTTCCCCTTTTCCCCCCTCCAGCTGGCACCTTCCCTCCAGCAATCCCTCCCTTTAGTTCGTGTCCATGGTTTGTGCATATAAGTTCTTTGGCTTCTCCATTTCCTATATGA